CAAAGATGAGGCCCGTGTGGACCTGCAGCACCACGACATCCACCGCTGCTCTCTCTGGGGCCCCTCTTCTGAGTCTCCCATGCGGTCCCTTCTAGTCACGGTGGGGTAGTAGGAGGTCCTCGGGCCATTTTCCTGAAGCAGCTGGTTGGCACTTTGGCTGTTCCAGTGGCAGAACCATAGGATTTCTGCTGCTTTCGTGTTGCCAAGGAGCCCTTGAAGGAGAAGATGCCCTGGGCCAGGACGGAGTTCAGATTTCAGTTCTGCCACCTGCCGGTGGCACTGTGAGGGCTGGAAAGGGTGCCAGACAGAGAACATGGACACCTGTGTTGTCTTCTAGACCTTTTCTGCCCAATGGTGACCTTGGATGAGTCATAGGTCATCTCTCTGTCCTCAGTTTCCCTCCTTTTTAAAAGTGAGGTCTTGGCCAGATGACTTCAAGGCACCTTCCCACAATCCTCTAGTCCATTGTGTGTTAAAGCTCACAGGAGGTGGGGGTCAGGGCACCTTTCATTCCTGGGCCACCCTGTGCTGCCGGACTCCTGGGACCTGGCCCACAGCCCCGCCCCCTCTCATTTGCCCTCACCCCACGACATTGTCCGCTTTCGCACAAGCTCCGGGGCACAGGGCCTCATCTGTCTTGTTCACGGTGAACTCCCCAAGACCTAGAGCAGGGTCTGGCACTTAGTAGGTGCTCAGGGCACATTTATGGAAAAGTGAGTGCTGACCAGGCTGCCCCTCCAAGAGCGGGCCCATCTCCAGCCAGCTTGTCCCACAGGTTCGGCAGCGTCTTCCCGAGCCTCAACATGGCGGTGAAGCGGCGGGAACAGGCCTTGCAGGACTACAGGAGGCTGCAGGCCAAGGTGGAGAAGTATGAGGAAAAGGAGAAGACGGGGCCAGTGCTGGCCAAGCTCCACCAGGTACCAGGGGAGACAGGCGGGCAGGGGCTGGACAGATGGGCCACTGTGGTCACCTGTGGTAAGTCCCTCCCTTCACCTGGGAACACCAGGACCAAGACACCAGCCGTCCCCACCCCACCCATCCCATATCCCACACCCAGCAGTGAGACAGAGCTTTGACAGCCAGGGTCTTGTTCCCTAGGCGCGAGAGGAGCTGCGGCCTGTGCGGGAGGACTTCGAGGCCAAGAACAGGCAGCTGCTGGAGGAGATGCCGCGCTTCTACGGCAGCCGCCTCGACTACTTCCAGCCCAGCTTTGAGTCCCTCATCCGAGCACAGGTGAGGCTCAGGCGCTCTTCCTCTGGGTGGACATAGCTCATGCCACTCCCTGTTACCCACGCTGGAAGGGTGGCTTAGCCATTCTCCACAAAGACAGGGCACCCACCCCAGGCACGGCCCCGAAGGAATTCATTCCAGTACCAGAGTCCCCGGCTGGGCGACTTGGGAACCCTGTCTGCTGCTAGAGTCCTCACGTTGCTCTGGTGAATCCCAGAGCAGGCATGGCCCAAGTTCCCTTTTGTCCGGCAGTTCCTCCCTGGATCTCTCTGCATTTCACTCTAAGTAGCCCCTCTGCCCCGCACCCTCAGGTGTGCAGGTTCTTGACCTGGGGTGGTGCTGAGGAGAAAGGGATCTGGAGAGTGGAGGCCTAGTCTGAGGACTCAGCTCCCCTCCCCTACCCACCCTGAGCCAGTCTTCTTTTTAGCAGGAAACGGCAGGAGTCCTGCCTTGGAGCCACTAGGGAAGGGGTGCCAGAGCCCTGGGGAGAGCCACACTCAGGGCTGCTGCTAGGGCCCTGGGGTGGAAAGGCAGGCCTGGAGGCATGGGGGTGCCACTGGGGGTCAGACACAGACCAGGCCCCAGTGTCCCCTTCCACTCGGGGATGGGAGGACACGGAGTGGCAACACCTGTGGCTCCCACGCTCCTCACCCTCCTCCATCTTCAAGCCTTTAGCAAGGATTGTTCCCCCAACTGGCAAAATAGAAAAGGGTGGGCACCCATGCCAGAAGCGGGTCCCTTCCACACAGGACCCTGTTGATGGCTCGTACTCAGCGACAGCCTCAGTACCCCAACACCCTTAGCAGCCATCTGCGCCAGGTCCCTGAGCCGCAGACTGCGCCACCTGAGTGGGCATTTGGCGCCCTCCAGTGGCCGTTCCCTACCGGCCCCGCAGTGACAGCCACGAAGCCCTGGCCCGCACACCCACCCTGCCGGGCCGAAGTCAGGGTGGCCACCCACCCCAATCAGGACGCCTGAGCAGGGTTCATGCTAGGGCTGGGCCTTGTCAGTGACTCACGTACTTGGGCCTGTGCCATCTGTAGGCAGCATGAGACCTAGAGCCTTCTGCAGGAGGGGTGGGGACTTCTCCCGACACTTGCTCCTGCAGTGAGGGCTCCCTTCAGCCGCCCCATTGGGTTCACGGGAGACCTGGCCCTGCCCCTTCCTTACTGTCACCTAGGTGCTGCCCTACACCCTCCCTCCTGTTGCTCACAGGAGGAAGCCACAGGGTGCCAGGCTCTCGCATGCCCAGGTTGGAGCAGATGGGAGGCCAGGGATGCCCTGTAACCAGGCAGCATTGCTGGGGGCTGTTGACTGCCTCCTGGGCCCCAGCCTCCTCCTCGCCCGCCCGGCTGCCATTAGTCATGGAGAAGTGAGCATCCCCGGTGACTCAGTGCGCAGTGGCTTAGGCAGGGAGGGGCGGGTAGGGCAGCCCACCCCCAGCCCAGAGGTGACAGCAGTGTTGAGACCAGCTCACTTTAGCTCCCCGTCGGCCGGCAGAAATCTCGCCTCAGGAGTGTCAGCCGTGGGTCCCTGCCCCACCTGGCATTTCCCACAAGGTCCCCTTAGTGTCTAGAGCTCCTCCTTGTGTCTAGAGTGCAAAGCGTGGAAGCTTTCAGGAAACTGCATGTGTTCATTGGGTCGTGAGATAGAAACTGAGGCAGAAGTGGCCCCTGTTGTCTGTGGAAAAGCCCCTGGTCCTCAGCCATCTGTGAGAACTGACAGGCCTTCCCATTCCTCCACCTGCCCCACCCTCATCCCTGTATCCCTTCCCACCCCGGTTCTGGTGCCTCCCTAGAGGGACCCTGGCAGTGAACCTGGCCTCTGAGCTGTCCCCTTGGCCACACAGCTTGGGCCATGAGCAAGGGTGGGATGCAAGTTGGGAGGGAATGGAAGGCTAGACGGGCATCCCCTTTCTCACCTGTGCTTCTAAAGCTGGCTTAGGGCTTTGGGAGCCACCAGTCTACCGTACCTTTTTTTTTTTTTTTTTTTTTTTTTTTGAGACGGAGTCTCGCTCTGCCGCCCAGGCTGGAGTGCAGTGGCCAGATCTCAGCTTACTGCAAGCTCCACCTCCTGAGTTCACGCCATTCTCCGGCCTCAGCCTCCCAAGTAGCTGGGACTACAGGCGCCCGCCACCTCGCCCGGCTAGTTTTTTGTATTTTTTAGTAGAGACGGGGTTTCACCGTGTCAGCCAGGATGGTCTCGATCTCCTGACCTCGTGATCCGCCCATCTCGGCCTCCCAAAGTGCTGGGATTACAGGCTTGAGCCACCGCGCCCGGCCCGTACCCTCTTTCTGCCATGGACAAAAGCCCTGGGTTCTCCCCTAGCTTACAAAAAGCAGTAAAACTCGTCATGGTGCCCAACATCCCACAGTTGCCCTAGGAGGCCTATGCCTTCCTGCACCTGCTGCTGGGGAAACCAGGCACCCAAAGCAGGGGCACCTCCACCTGCAGCCACTGAGGCCCTGTTGCTCCCCAGCTCGTTTTGGTTCAGTCTTAGCTAGAGCCTTTCCATGCCCTGCACATTTCCAAAGGCACACTGCTACACAGCTCCAGAGGGGTGAGGGCAGGGGGTAGCAGAGGAGTGTGAGCCTCTCGCCCTCTGAAGCACATGGTTTTCTGGAGCCAGCATGTGCCAACCCACCACCTCCCCCAGGTTGTGTACTACTCGGAAATGCACAAGATCTTTGGAGACCTGACCCAGCAGCTTGACCAGCCAGGCCACTCCGATGAGCAGCGGGAGCGGGAGAACGAGGCCAAACTCAGTGAGCTCCGGGCCCTCTCCATTGTGGCCGATGACTGAATCCCCGTCACTCTTGGACAACTCCTGTGACACGGTCAGCCTCGCTCGTCTTTGCCCTTCTCAGGGCTAACTGCTCCTCTCACAGGCTGGGGACAGAGGTGGCCCTGGTTCACTTGCCGGCCCTTTGCAATGAATGACTCTTCCTGAGCCTGGCACCAGGATCCCTAGACAGGCCGCCGTCTCCCCACTCACAGCCCCAGCAGGTAAGCAGTGTAGACAAACCCTTGGGGCTTTTTTATTTGGAGAACCGTCCAGCATGCATCCTGGCCCATGGCCTGAGCAAGCTGCAGCCCTTCTGAAGCCGTGGGCTTTGTCGGCTCAGTTGGGGGTCTTAGCCCTGCATGCATTGTGGGCATCAGATCTACCTCCAAAAGACCCATCCTGGGGAGCCCTCTGGCCCCTCGTTGCCTTTTCACTTAAAAGCCTCTTTTTTCTGGGAGAGGCCCTGAACCCTGCCCAGGAGAGCTGTTCCTCCACCCTGGCAGGCCCTCAGCCAGCTTCCTAGCAAGACAAAAGCTACCCTCGTGACTTTGGGACCCAAGTCGTTGGGGTTCCCGAGGTCACTGAGAACTGTTACCTCGGGACCTCAAACTGTCAGTGGAACTGTCCCACCACACAGAATGTCCCACAAGAATTCGCATGTCTCAAAGCAAAAACAGTGGGTTTGTGTCTCACCTGAGTATTTGGAATTTTATTTTTTCAAGTAAAGTTTTCAATGAAATGTCCACATGGTATTGTTATAACTTAGGGCGAGCAGGGGAAATTCCTCTTCCAGGGCCTGCTGCCCTCCACTGAGCAGCAGTACCCTCCAGCAGGCAGCCCAGCACGCAGGGGTCTGTGTGCACCTCCCCGGCCCTGCCCCACCTTTTGGAGTGAACTGCACCGTGGTCCAGCAGAGATGCTGGGCCGAAGGGCACGCAGGCAAGCCTAGGAGAGGAGTAGGAAGAGCTGTGGAGGACACGCTCGGTTTGTTTTTGACTTTGGTTTATTTAAAAAACAAGCCAAAAAAAAAAAAAAAAAAAACCCAACTTTATATACAAAGTCAAACTGAAACCACGGATTATGGAAAGAGGCAAGAATTATGGGTAACAGGGGAGAAGGCTGGGCCAGAGCCAATACCACATTCTGAACACAGGAGCCACGGGAAAGAGGTGCTGGTTTCTTCTGGCAAATCTGGGGTGACTGAACACAGTGTTCTATTGGCAAACCCAGCCCAACACTGAGCACTTTCTAGCATGGACTCCATTCCCGTGATGGCCAAGGGAGACCCTTCCCCCAGGAGCCTGCATCTGGAACCTAGCAGAGCCTGTGCCATCCGGAGGAGGGGTTGCTTAGCCCCAGCCAGGCTCCACGTCTGTCTCTTCAGTTCAGTTCACTGACATCAGACCTTGTCACACACTTGAAAAGCCTTTTTCTCCCCTGTCTTATTCTAAACTGGAAAAGGACAGGAGAAAGTCAGCACAAGACTAAAAGGGCCCCAGGAGAAATACCAAGGTTGAGGGCAATATGACATTCTAGGGGTGCAAAAGATGTTGTATTTAGTTGTTAACTGGAACCGGGGTTCCTCACACATCCATCCCACATAGCACAGCCCCCAGCCTGATGGCCTGCCGTCCCCTAGAGGCTGAGCATGGGGTCAGCCACCCCCGCCCTGGCTCCCAGGTCTCGCTCCCGCTGCTTTCTGGTACCGCAAGGGCTCCAACTTTGCCGAGCGCCACCGCTGCCCTCACAGGATGGCAGTTCCGTGTGAGGCCGTCAGTTGTTAGGTGCCGGCTCCTCTTTCTCCACCCAGCTGTCAGCCTGTTTGAAACAGATGTACCCAGAATCAGGCCTGGCAAGGCGATCTGAGGACTGCGGACTGTCTCCTGCTGGGAAGCTCCCGCTTGCTGCACGCTGCTGACTGCTCAATTCCCAGAGAACCTGCAACCAGGGGCACAGAGCCTGGCAAGCGACGGAAGGAAGAAGCTGGTGCCTGCTGGCCCTCTGGTCACTCCGGACATAGGGGCAAGCACCCTTCCAGGGGTTTCTGGAGCTCAGGGAAAGGAGCTGTGCTGCCTCCTGGTCCACCCCCACCTTACCTTTTCCACCACCCGCTGGATCTCCAGCTGCAGGGGGGTCAGGCGCCTGCGGAGCTCCTGCAGCAGCCGCTGGAGCTGGCTCTTCTGTCGCTCCGCCATCCGAGCGGTCTCCTCAGCCTCCGCCAGCCGGGCTCGCAGCTCCTGCATCTCTGCCGCCAGCGTCTTATTCGTTACTTCAGTGGCTGAGAAACGGTTATGGCTCTCCTCTGCAAGGTGGAGGAGGAAACAGAGGGACGGCTGCTCCATCAAGGCCCAGAGCACAGGGCAGGGCCTGAGCCTAAGCAACGGTTCCCTACTGGTCTGCACGTGCCCCCGTGGTGGATGCAGCCCCAGGCCCTCACCCAGCTTCAGCTCCAGTGTGTGGATCTTGTTCTCTAGGTAGAGCCGGCCACTGTCCTGCTGCTCCGCGCGCTGCAGCAGGCTCCCCACGTTGATCAGGCTGCCATTGTGGGACACCAAGGCTTTGTGTTCCGTAGGGGCGGCACCTGGCTTCGTGCTCTTCCCAGAAGGGGGCAGCAGGTCCAGGTTTCCTAGAGGGAACCATGAAAAAGATTGCAGGATGGGGTCTCCGGAGAGGGCAGCCTGCCCAACCCGTGCCCAGGAAGGCTGCAGGGCTCAGGACATACCAAAGAGCACCTCCTCGGGAAGGCCACCGTCCAGGCCCTCCTGGCGGCTGTACTGAAGGCTCCGGTACTGGCAGATGTTCTGGGTCACCACCCTGCTGACCAGCTGCTTGGCCTGCAGAAAACATACCCCCAGACACCTGCTGACCAGAAGGCCCAGTCCCCGACCCTGGCCGTGGGCAGGAACCTGGAGCAGGAGCAAGTGCAGGCCTGTGCCCATGTGCTGAGGCAGAAGAAAGAAGGTACCTGCTCTGCACTGAGCCGGATCCCAAGGGTAAGGAGGATCCTCTCCAAGTCTCGCCGGTGCAAGTAGCCACACCAGTTGGCATCAAAGAACACAAAAGCAAGCAGACAGTCCAAGGGGAGCACAGCAGAGGGATCCAGCTCCTTGGGCTGCAAAGAAAACAAAGATGAGCAGGATTTTCAAATAGTTCCCTCAGTGGCTCTATCGCCCAGGATTCAGCCTGTTCAGAATCCAGTGGCTCGGGCCACATGCAGCTCAGGCCACAGGCAGTAATGCATGCCTAAGTCTCTGCTACTGGGGAGGCTAAGACAGGAGAATCACTTGAACCCAGGAGTTCGAAGCTGCAGTGCACTATGCTCATGCCTGTCAACCACTGTGCTCCAGCCTGGGCAACATAGCGAGACCCCATCTCTAAAACACAAAACATCAAGCAGCCTGGCTGATGTTCATCACACCCAAGCCAGCCTTCCTCTCTGGGGCACTTTCACAAAAGCTCCTGTGCTCCTCTCTCAGGAGAGGATCAAATACCTCTCTCCCATTCACCCCGACAGATACTGAAATGTTCTCCTGGAGCCTATGAACGTGCCCTTCCATGAGCCAAGGACCACACTGTGTGTTGGGTCCATCAAGAAAGGAAATCACTGGTAAGCATCCTTCTCCCAGGAGTGTGCCGAAGGCCTTGCCAAGCCTCACCACCACTAAGGCCCAGAGAGGTGGAGAAGAGGCCTCACCATGTCCTGAAGTGAAGAGAACTCCATCTCTGACTGGTTTGAGGCAACGGACCGGACCTCCGAATCCTCCAGCTTTGCTCCTGCTACAGAAAGCCCAAGATAAATGGAGAGCAGGGCCCACCCAACTCCACAGTCCAAAAATTAAAACCAGCTTGGCCACAGGTGGAAAGCCACATCCCGAGCCTGCGAGCTCCCCTCTCACCACTCAACATACCAAACTCCTCCTCTCCATCATCCCTCAGAAGCAACAGTTCTGGGTCCAGGGCCATCTCACACAGGTCCTCGGAAGCCTCGCCCCGGGGTTTTTCTTCTTCCTCTCCCCCAGAAGAGGGTGGTTTGGGCAAAAGCCCATCCTCCTTCTAGGGAGGCAGACGAAGGTGATTAGAAGGAAGGCAGTTACCGTAATTACCAATAGTAATCATGGCTGACACCTGAGTAATAAGTATGCCCCGGGCACTGTATGGAGGGCTCTAGACACCATCTCATTTCATGTATTTAATTTCATCAAGTGGAACTCAGAGCATGCCAGGGCATCACCAGACACCTGGGCTTTTTTCCTCAGGAGTTGATCTTAGTCCCAGAAGAAATTACATTTATTTGATAGTATTTAAACAAAAAACAGCTGGACACGGTGGCTCACGCCTGTAATCCCAGCACTCCTGAGGTCAGGAGTTCAAGACCAGCCAGGCCAACATGGTGAAACCCCATCTCTACAAAAGTACAAAACTTAGCCAGGCATGGTGGTGGGTGCCTATGATCTCAGCTACTCGAGAGGCTGAGGCAGGAGAACCGCTTGAACCTGGGAGGCAGAGGTTGCAGTGAGCCGAGGTTGCGCCACTGCACTCCAGCCTGGGCGACAGAGCAAGACTCCATCTCAAAGAAAAAAAAAGACTAGTATTTTAGAAAAGGTTTACAAATTTTATTGTTTACTTTTTTTCAAGAGAGTCGTGCTCTCTCACCCAGGGCGGAGTGCAGCGGCACGACCTCGGCTCACTGCAACCTCCACCTCCCTTGGTTCAAGGATTCTCCTGCCTCAGCCTCCTGAGTAGCTAAGAATACAGACATGCACCACCACGCCCAGCTAATTTCTGTATTTTTAGTAGAGCAGGGTTTTACCATGTTAGCCAGGCTGGTCTCAAACTCCTGACCTCGTGATCTGCCCGCCTTGGCCTCCCAAAGTGCTGGGCTTACACCCCACCTACAATATTTTCTAGTTAACCATCAGACAATCAAAGCAGCCCACTCTGCTAAGCATTCTCAGTGACTGGGGTTTCTATGCTGTCAGGCTCCTCAGTCATGCTCCCTGCACTCCTCTGCGCCACCTTCCCTTCCACTAGGTGTGCCACTTACTAGCTGTGTGGCCTCAGTGCGTGCTGAGCAAGGGAGTGGGGAATGAGCTAGGGCGCAGGAAGCACTCAGAGCCCAGGGTGAAGATGCGTGGTCACGGTAAGCACTACGACAGCCTGAGGTGGCAGGGTACTCACCAGTGGGGGCTCTGACTCGGCAGCCGGGCCCTCATTCTGTGCCTCATCCTTGGGCTCCTTGACCACCTCCTCTTTGATGGCTTCTTCCTCCTTGGTGGCTTCCTCCTTGGCCGCTTCCTCCTTCTCAGGTTCAGGTGGGGACACGACCTTTTCAGGAAGGCTCAGCAGCATCTTATAAACCCTATAGCCAAAATCCCTCTGGAGCATCTCCAGAAACAGCTCAGCCAGCACCATCACCTGACGGGGATGTGGCAGGGTCCATGAGCATCAGGAAGAAAGACTGCTCAAGGCCCACAGATCCCAGCCCATAGCCTCCCCAAGACTCTGACACCTGCCTCAAAAGAGATCCTTTCTTTTGGCCTCCGATCCTCCACAATCCCATGGAGGGACAGGTTCACACAGCCAGGGCGTGCGATGACAGCAGGTTCTAGCGGGGGTGGAGGGGCCTCTGGGAGATCAGTGTCCGTTTCCTGCTGTGTGCTGGCCTCTGAAGTTTCTGCGTTCCGTCTAGAAGTGTCTGCTGCTTGCTCCAAGGCGTCTGGTGCCTGTTCAGTAGGCTCCATTTCCTGTGACAATAGCCAAGATGAGACCCTCTGGGTCCCAGGATCAGGCCACCTATATCTCCCGCTGCTGGCTAAGGCACAGCCTTACCCCTGGTACCTCCTGGGTCGAAGGAGCTGCCTCTGCAGCTTTCTGCTGGCACAGGGCCTCCCACTCCTCCAAAGTAGGCATGATGGTCCAGACGTCCGGCAGGTACACCACCACTGTCTGGAGCCGCCGGGGGGGTCCCGGCTGCAGGTACTGAAACTCGGCAAAGCGCCACCTACACATAGCAAAAGGAAGTACTAACTTCGTTACTGACAACTCCACGCAGACACCACATTCACAGGCAAGGGCTTCAGTTTCCAGTCAGCACTCAATAAGCACATACTGCAAGCCAAGCTTTGAAAACACAACAGCAAAGCTACAGACCAAGTCCTCAAGAAATGGTCATGGGGACGCCGCAACCATACAAGCACCCTACAAGGTGTGAGGACAACTCGAGGGAGTCTCAAGTGCAGCCTGCGGCTCAGCCGGCTTTTGGCATACACCCCACCCTAGCCTGAGGCAGCAGAGGGGGCAGGAGCAGGACTAGGGGGCAGAAGAGAGCTAACCAGCAGAAAGGGGCAGGGACTGGGCCTCCCCAACAAAACCTCCCCAACCTGCTGGGTTGGTACAGCCGAGGCTCAGGAAGCCCACTCACCACTTGGTGCAGCCACTCAAGTCAATGCCGGTCTGGGCCTGCGCACAGCGGATGGCGGTGCGCACCAGCACCTGTGGGTCAGCCTGGGGGTCGAGGCCATCCAGGGAAGGAGACCATTCACCCCCAACCAGCACTGCCTCTTCTTCTTTTCTGCCCAGCAAAAACTGCAAAAAGACATCAGGGATACGAAACAAAAAACTCCGTTACCTGGGTCTCCCACTGCAGGGCAAGGCTGCCGCACATCAGGATGAAGGGAGCAGGAAGTGGGGAAGTCCATCACACAGTGAGGTCTCTATCTGCTAACATGAGCCAGCCACCTAGCTCTCTCTGACTAGTCAGAACAGCTCTGAGCTGTACCTTCCTCCTGGGTAAAATGAGGGGCATTCGGCTCCGAGATGCCTCGTTTCTGTGCATTCAGGAACAGGAGCCGAGCACTCGAAACATGACAGGTTCTGGACATTACCAGTGAATGCATCTCCTCCTGCCCTCTAGCTCTTACCTTAATCTGCTTCAGAGGATGCTCTGGCGTCTCCCTTGGCTCAGCCATGTCATCCACAAAGAGCATGCAACAACGATACAATTCCTCCAACCCCGGGGAAGAGAGCAGTAGTACCTGTGCAGGAGGAGACACTCAGAGCTGCCTTCAGCCTCCAGAAATCAGGTTAAGTGACAGACACCTGTCAGCTTACCTTGGAACTATAAGCGGGGTCACTGTCTGCAGGGATGGGCTCAGCACCAGCATCTGGAGCTGCCTCCTTTTCAGAAGAGACCTGGATCCGGCTCGGGTGATGGAGGGAAAAGGGTTGGCTCAGAGGGAAGGCTGACAGCCAACTCAGATGCACGGACAGAAAATCTGAGGGGACCAGGAGGCTGCGGTAACGACGCTGGAGTTCTAGGAAGTCACAGACGGGGCTACAAGAAGACAACAAGGGAATCCAGACTGAGCAAACACTAAAAATTACAAATGAAACCATCAAAGAGTTTAAAAAATGGGCAAATTTTTTTTAGTCTCAGAAAGAACTTTTGAAGTAAGGCACCTCTCAAGGAAGCTAGATCAGATCTGACCACTTAACTAACAACCTCTAGATGGCAAAAGTCAAACTAGGAAAGGGAAAAAAGAAAACACTTATAATACAGGACAAAGAAATGGATCATTGCCTTAATATAAAAGAACTTACAAATCAGTAACAAAAAGTTCAAAAGCCTAAAACAGAAAATTGACATCAATAGGTTCTTAAGAGAAATACATAAGAATTAAAAGCCCATGAAAATATGCTCAATCTCACTTATAATTAAAGAAATGCAAATCACATTATCATGTGTCACCAACTAGACAAAGATGAAAAAGTCAGCTAACAGTGTTGGGAAAGGCATGGGGAAATAAGGATTCCACACCCCACTGGTGGCAGCAGAATGGGCACAGCCTCTTCGGGAGAACTAGCAATAGTTATGGAAGCTTAAAGCAAAGCCTTTGAGCCAGCTGCTCCATTTCTAGGAATTGATCTCAACAAATACACAGGTGTAGGTAGAAGGATGTTCATTCCAAGAAAATTTAGGATACAGTGCTAATGGAGAACTGGTTAAATAAATCATGTTCATCCATTCAATGAATATTGTGTAGTTGCCAAAAAAAAAAAAAACTGGATCTAATAAATGTTTATATGAAATAAAATCTAAAGTACATTCAGTGAAAGGGCAAACCACCAAACAGTATGTACAACAGGTTTCCATGTGCTTTTTGTTTTGTAAGAAAAGGCTGTGAGAACACACATGTGCACTTGCATAGACCCCATCTCATTTACATGAGAAACTATTACCAGCAGCAAGTCTCAGCCCACCTCAGCCTCGCCGCTTACCTGTCCACAGTGTAGGGAGTGAGGTGGACCCGGTAAGGAGGCAGGTCATGCCTTGGCTTCTTAGCACCCCAGGGCTCTCCAGCAGCCCGCTGTTTGCGTTTCTTGGAGTCATAGTCATCGCTAGAGGTTGACCCATCACCAACAGTAAGAAATCACATTGTTATATGTATTCAATACACACTGAACCAAAAGAATTGGAAACAAGCGCAATCCCTCACATTCAATACATGGAAAAAGAAGCCATGCTAACAGCCATATGACAGAATGTTACAAAGATATTAAAATGGATATTTACACTCTTTTAACAACATAGAAAAACATTCCTGTTAAGCAAAAAGCACACTCTGCAACATTGTATACACAGTAGGCCTGAGCTACTGCAAAAACAACTTTAGAAGACTGAAAGGAAATAAAATATTAATGGTGGAAGCCTCCAGTAAGCTTACAAATAATTTTCCATTTTTCTGCACTTCATAAATTATAGTTAACATGTTTTTTTGAAATGAGCAAAAAACTCATTTCTCTTTTAAAAACAAGGGACGCATATATGAATCCATGCTATGCGTTCTATAAAGTTTATTAGAAGAGACAGATACAAGGTGCCTGTAATCCCAGCACTTAGGGAGGCCGAGGTGGGCGGATCACTTGAGGTCAGGAGTTCGAGACCAGCCTGGCCAACATGGTGAAACCCTGTCTCTACTAAAAATACAAAAAAGTAGCCAAGTGTGGTTGCACATGTCTGTAATCCTAGCTACTCAGAAGGCTGAGAGAGGAGAATCACCTGAACCCGGGAGGTGGAGGTGGCAGTGAGCCGAGATCACGCCATTGCACTTCAGCCTGGGCGACAGAGCGAGACTCTGTCTCCAAAAAAAAAAAAAAAGTGACAGCTACAAATCCTTAATAATACACATTAAAGTCATAAAAACAAACCATTTGCTCCAATAGTTCCACTCTTGAAAATTTGTCCCAAGAAAGTTAATTCAAAAGAAGAAGAAAGGCTACACATAGTGAAAAAATAGGAAGCAGCATAAACAGAGTAAAAAACCAAATACCCAGATTTTTATAGTAAATAAAAACAATCACGCAGCCATTAAAACACTCAGGATTATGCTGCAATATGGAAAACTGTTTATAAATACACAAAAATAATTTGAACTCTAAGATTAAAATTGCAAAAAGCATGCACATGTATAGATTTAAACTAGAACACAGGAGAAAAGAGTGGCAAGAGATTTTCCTTTTTTTTTTTTTTGAGACAGTCTCGCTCCGTTGCCCAGGCAGGAGTGCAGTGGCGTGATGTCAGCTCACTACAACTTCCGCCTCCCGGGTTCAAGCAATTCTCCTGCCTCAGCCTCCCGAGTAGCTGGGAATACAGGTACCCACCACCATGCCCGGCTAATTTTTTTTTAGTAGAAATGGGGTTTCACTATCTTGGCCAGGCTGGTTTTGAACTCCTGACCTCAAGTGATCTGCCTGCCTCAGCCTCCCAAAGTGCTAGGATTACAGCTGTGAGCCACCGCACCTGGCCTACATATTTCTATTATTTTAATTTTATATAATAGCATGTACTGCTTTACACATTTTGTAAGTCACTACAGTATTACACTATAACTACATTGTAAGTACAATAGATATGGGTACAATAAATAAAAATAATTGAGAAGAAAAAACCTTTAGACCATTCATTATAAAGTACCAGACTGATAAGGGGAAAAGCCCCCACGTCACATGAAAGAAATAAAATCAACTGTCATTTATCTGTGCCTCGGTAACTGAGTTGATTGTATTTACCGGAAGGTTTCTGTTCTGCCTTTTAGACCTGCCTGGGTCATTTCCCTATTCATCACACCCCAGTGACTAAGCTGAACAGATTTATCATGAGGCCTGTTCTTTTCTGTTGGCCTGGGTCACTTCCATGTGCGTGAGCATCTGCATCCTAAAGTGGCCTTATTCTCAAGCCCCGATGGGATGTCAGTAGCCCGTGTGTCTAATAGAAGACCCATGCCAAAGCCGCTGTGACAACCTTCCAGCTCACAGTAATGCCATTGGCCTCTAGCTAAACTGTTATGATCCACTCAACGGTGTACACTGTGTGGCCACTTTCCTCCCCTTCCTGTACACTGTCAGGAGGTCATAAGGCAGCACCAGGGGCTGACCTCTCAGGAACCACAGCAGCAGAGCCCACCTGGGTACACCCGTCTAAAAACCGCAGCTCAGTAGTAGCTGCTCAATAAAGACATTGTTCTCTGCATCCCAAAGCCAGGAATTCAAAATAAAGCTTGGCTTCCATGCAAAACATTAATGTGGTTGAGTCCTTCATAAAAGTTGCAAAACTAAATAAATAAAAGTTACTGCCCCAGAATGACCTACTTTGTACCACCCTTGGCCCCACTCTGCACATTCTCTCTACTGACCGATGTTAATATCATATTTCCTTCCCAATGGTGATATAGGTTGAGTATCCCTTACCTGAAATGCTTAGGACCAGAAGCGTCCTGGGTTTGGAATGTTTTTCAGATTTTGCAATATTTGCATTATACCTACTGGCTGAGCATCCCAAATCCAAAACTCCAAATCTGAAATGCTCAATAAACATTTTCTTTGAGCGCCATGTCAGCACTCAAAAGTTCTGGATTTGAGAGTATTTTGGGTTTTAGGATTTAGGATACTCAACCTGTACATCCTTTCTGTAGAAGCTGTGATACTGAAGCTAATGGCCAAAGTAATACAACAGACCTTGCATGGGTCTCAGCACATCCAGGACAATCAAATGCAACTGACTAGAGAAAGCCTGAAATTAACCCTAAAGCAGAAAGTCCACAGCAGTCACAGAGCTTCACCCAGGCTACGCTGTCTCAGAAGGCACCTGCTGTGATTTTGTAATGAAGCCTTTAATAAACTCACACAATGTGAGAGGTAGAAGGTCCTTGGAAACTGAGGACCAGGAAGATGCACAGGACAAGAGAAGTAGGTAAATGCAAAACATATACCAGCCACTGGATATACTTATATACTTATGAATATGGTGTCTACAATGGAGAATGGGACACAGGGTTTCAAGTAGTGGAAACCCCATGGCAAACAATCCCAAAGCTTCCCCCTAGTTAGAATTCACAATGGTGAATTCCCACACCTGTAATCCCAGCGCTTTGGGAGGCTGAGGTGGGAGGATCACTTGAGCCCAGGAGTTCGAAACCAGCCTGGGCAACATGGCAAAACCCTTTCTCTGCCCCCCACAAAAATAAATAAATATTTACTTATTTTTTGTAGAGATAGGTTCCCAAAGCACTGGGATTTATAGGCATGAGCCACTGCACCCAGCCTTACAAAAAACGTTTTAAAAAATTAGTCAAGCATGGTGGTGCACACCTGCAGTCCCAGCTACTCCAGAGGCCGAGGCAGGAAGATGGCTTGTGCCAGAGAGATCAAGGCTGCAATGAGCCATGATCACGCCACCACACTCCACTCTGCGTGACAGAGCAAGACCTTGTCTCAAAAAAAAAAAAAAAAATAGGGTTAAGGGTTACATGAGATTTCCTATTTGTCAAAATTGTCAAGATTTGTGCATTTCAATCTACGTAAGTTCCACCTTAAATTTTTTTACCTTAGCAAAATCAAGTAGGAGCAGTGAGTAGATGGAGGTAGAGATGAAAAAGAATAGTAGCTGATACTTGAAGCAGCTAAGTAATGGGTATAAGGTTCCTCATACCTTTCTGTTTACCTTGCATATACTAAAATTCTCCACTATGACAAATTTAAAATGAAGACAGAACTAGAACAAGTCTTAAATCAGGCTAGAGCTTAACTTTTAAAGGTACAAGCAAAACACTCAGGGAGAGTGAGACTGAGGAAGGAACACGTGAACTGGAGAGAGGACAGGACAGCATGCTCCTGGTGGTCCCCAATGCTACAGATGAGACAGGATCACCAGGATACCCTAAAGGCCCAAATCAGCCATGCTTGCTCCACACATGGCTGAGAAAGCTACCTGCATGTCCAAGGCAGAGTGCAATATACACCTTCTAACAGCATACTTATGAGAACAGTGTCTATAAAGGAACGTTTTAAACAACTAAAAGAGATACTGCAGTGTTACTTTTGACATGTTACTATTGAGTTTCCATTCCTGTCATCTCAACTTAGGGACTAGAAACAAAAGAGTATTTAAGAAATATCTCAACATGACATTTTCAAAGATGAACTGTATCAACTCCCTACTTGCTAAACCACTGTATAAAATTCCAATATTTTTATATACATTTCAGTGTGTCCACATACTTCAGAGAAAAGGGACTAGGATCTAGCTGCAGGCAGAGAATGTCAGTGGTAAGCATAGCCACCTTCCAAGCAGTAGACCTGGCTTCACTTCCTGGCCAACACAAAAAAATAATAATAATAAAATAAAGAGAATATTAGTGTCAACAAGTGGCCAAAAAAGGAACATCATCCTCTTACCTTCGGCCCTGATCCAACCGTCCATGAGGGCCCCGGGCAGGAAATCTGTTCAGGTGGCTCAGGTGAAGTGTGTGGGATGTCTGGAAGAGACTCAGAGCTGCAGAAAGGAAATGACTGGTGACTCAAAAACCCTAAAAACCAGCCAGGCGCAGTAGCTCACATCTGTAATCCCAGCACTTTGGGGGGATAATGCGGATGTATCACTTGAAGTCAGGAGTTCAAGACTAGCCTGGCAAACACGGTGAAACCCCGTCTCTACTAGAAATACAAAAAATTAGCCAGGCGAGGTGGTGAATGTCTGTAGTCCCAGCTACTCAGGAGGCTGAGGCAGGAGAATGGCTTGAACCCAGGAGGTGGAGGCTGCAACGAGCCAAGATCGGGTCATTGCACTCCAGCCTGGGCAACAGAGCGAGACTCCATCAAAAGAAAAAAAAAAAAAAAATTCCTAAACACCTATCCAAATCACCCACCTTTCTTCCAGTACACTGAAGTACCCACCTCTACGCTAATGGACTTTCAGCAATAACCTGAAAGTCCATTGATCCAGACTACCCCATAAAGCCACACTCAACAATAGTGCCACTCGTACTCACGCTTCTGAGGAAAGAGTGGGGGAATCCGGTGAGGCTGGAAGATCAACTGAGGCTGAGCTCCCAGGATCCCTTGCTTCTGGCCCAGGGCTGCTACATGCAGAAGGGGAGGTGCTGGGGACTTCAGTAGGGGCTGCAGAACAGGAGCCAGGAAATTCAGGGGACCCCATGGTTGAGGCACTCACTACCTTGGAAAGATGCAGTCCCACCCCCTTGAGAAAAGTCAGGGTTTTGCCCAGCTGTCAGGGCACAGGGGCTTCCATCCCTCCCCTTTCCAATGCACATGCTAAGGAGAGATGAATACCTGGTTGGAGAGCGTTTGCACCTTGACAGCATTCCAGGGCACTGCCTGGCCTGGGTTGTATGCAGCCTTCACCAGCACCTTCTCACCCAGCTGGGGCAGCCGGCCCTTCACCACACTGCCAGCACACAAGCCAGGAGGCCCCGTTAGGAGAGGGACCCTGGCCAAGCCACCCTGACTGCCCCATGAGGCCTTTCCCATCAAGATTTCCCACACCTTGCACAAAAACAGCAAAGCAATGGCTTTGGGGAGCGGGGTGGGCAATACCAGCACGGTGACAGAACTGAATCCAATAAGCATTTCCAGTAGGGGACCAACCTCAAGCCTACCTTAGCTGAAAAAAGACCTCTTCATCCACAACCCCAAAGTAGTCATGCAAGCTGGTAACAATACCAGTGAAGACCCGCTGTTTCTCCCCACCCTGTAAGAAAAGGGAGCAGTTGAAAAATAAAAGAGAGGAAGCTGGACAAAATCACACTCTGCCATGAAAGTCTCATCTCAACCCACACCCCTGCTCAGCGTACTGCATCAAGAGTTCACACAGAGTGAAGTACAGGTGTGTGGTGGGCATACGCCATCATTAAGGGTCGGGGCATGTTTGAGCTGGTTCTTGACCCACAACCTTCTTCTAGGACTTCCAGTTCATTAATCCCAAGACGTATGCTAAAGATTTCCCTGGAGCGAGAAATGAAGATGCCCCAGTCTGAAGGCTATCTGGGAAACTCCGTATTAGCCTACTACCAGGAGAGGGGTCAGGAATGATAAACACTATTATGTAAGAGATGAAGAGCACCAGGCCTCCATGCATCCAGTCCCAAGGGCAGAAACTACAAGGGATGCCCAACCTACCTGAAGGTGCCTGGCATTCTGGGACAGTTCTGTGGCCACAGGAGGAGTGAGCAAACCAGGAGGAGGGCCCAGAAGAGATGTTGAAGCTGTGCCTATGGGGAAAGAGAAGCAATCTACAGGAACCACCCCTACCACCTTAAGCACTAGAGTCAACCAAAGGATGTGGTAAATCCAAAGGCTACAGCTCCAGCCAGCTCCTCCACAGGGCTTCACTGGCAACCACGGTGGGAATCTCCTGTTTTCCAGAGGAACATCAGCAGCAAATTGCTCTCCACCAGGGAAACCCCAAACTAACTCCACAGCACATACTTCCCAGGATGAGGCCAGGTAGGGAAAAAAGTGATCACCTGAGAAGTTGCGTCCCCCTGGAAGTGGGTTGATCCGCTGGCGCTTAAACTGGGACATTGGGAACGCTGTCCTCTTTCAGAGTCGTGGGGAAAAGCCTTCAATCCAAAAAAAAGAAGTTAACAGCTCACACGGGAAATTTCCATCTATACCTGGAAAAGTGGAGAATCTTAAGTAAGGGTATTAATGAAAACAGGGAGGTGGGTAATGAGAATGAATGAAGGCAATGGATGGAGAGAATATAGAGAAGTAAGAAATGGAACAATAAATTACATTGTTTCAGTTTGCCCTCACAATAACCTAGTGGTGGGTCATATTGTCATGCTGTTTTACAGACAAGGAAACTGGTGCTCAGAGAGAATCAAGAGACTTGCCCGGGGCCACATAATCAGGTAGTGACATAACTGGTACTCACACCCAGGCCACCCAACAACTTAGCGCTCCTCTCACTATGCCACGCCACCCCCAGAGTAGTTGGCGGGGTGAGGGGCTGGAGAGAGCCCCGATGACATTCCTTCATTCAAAAACATCCGCCAAAACCCTCCACGCAGGGCCCGGAAAAATGGAGGAGACCGGTGCCGGCGAGGAGATGGTGTGAGCCCTCTCCCCGGAAGCCCGACCCGTTGTTTCCTCGACCGGCTGGTGGGAAGGCAGCTCCCTGGCCGACCGAACGCGAAACCGGCTGCGCGCCACCCTCCTGCTCCCACGCTCCCGGGCCCTCCGCTCCGGCCTCAGCAGCCGCCAGCGCCAGGTCTCCCGGCAGGGCCGCGGCGAGGCCACCGAGGGAGGACTGAGGCGCGCGGTTTCTCCTCCTCCCGCCCGCCCCCAAGGCCGAGGCCGTTGCCAGGGAGACGGGACTTGCAGTCCAAAGAGGGGCTCGGCCCCTTCCGCGCCCCACGCATCTTCGCCGCCCGGCCCTCGCAGTCCCTCGGTCAGCGGAGGGACGGAGGGGCGACGGGACAGATGGGCGGCGAGGGGCCCCCTAACCCACCTGCGGGCCAGGGCAGCGACACCGGGGGGACAAAGACACCCGGAACCACCACAGCCGCTGCTGCCGCCGCCACCGGAAGCGCCTCTCCGGAAGCGCGACCACTGGTCGGAAGCTGCCACTCTCCCGGATATGGTCCCTCCCTCGTCTCCGCCGATCTCTCCCTTCCCCCACGCCGGCCTGCCATCCCGCGGCAACTGGGGAGCGGAAGTGCGCCTTCCCGGATCGGATGCGCGTCAGGAAGTCGCGCCTCGATAGTGTCCTCGCTAAAGAATCCCATTAGAAAAGAAGGCTTCGGATCCATTGGTTCCGGAATCAAAGGCAGCGGGAGCCGGACTACCCCAAACACAAGGAACCCCCGACTGCTTACCACGCCCGCCTCCCTCTGGCAGTCGAGACTGCAACAGATGAGGAAACCAGCCCCTCCTGACTGGAGGAGGAGGATGCCTATCAGTGGCCATTTCTAAGAGACATTCCTGTGTCTGACTCAAGCCAGTGACCCCCATGCCTATAGCCAGTCAGGAATCAGTGCCCTAATTCTCAAATATGAAATCTCAAATATGAAAGAGGCCTCAATGAAGTGGCCTGCTCAAAATCTTGCCAGAGATCGGCCATTTTAGTCCCCATTAGCAATCCCATGCCCCCCTTATCCCTCCTGCCTTACTTTCCCCGTTCCTATTCACTTAACGTTTACAAAGCACTTTGAGGCAGTTTAATCTCACTTTATCCTCATAACAAGTCTGTGAGGTAGGTAGGGCAGGCATCATTATTCCCAGCTGGAAACTGTGGCTCAGAAAGGTTGATTTAGGGTCTAAAAACAAGTACAGGCATCTGGTTTGAGTTAGGGCCTGTAAACGCTAGCACGGGGGAGAGAAGCTGAGCACTGGCTTTGAAAGTTATTCTTCTGTTCCCAGGTTGTCCCTGATCTTCCTCATTTCTGGTGCAGTCTTCAGGAGTCTGGGGCAAGACTCCATGCAGAGGCAGTCAAAGCCACACCGTTCTCTGTCCCAGGGCTGCCAGCACGGCTCTGAGGCAGAAAGCTCAGTAACTGCCCACTGGGGAATAAAGGTCAGTTCCATCCTTCTGCAGTGACCTGCCCCAGAATATCAACCCTTTGGATGCATTATTTCAGAAGAGATGGTTGGATCCAGCCAGCTTGCAACACTGACAGTCACACAGAGATATGCATACCATTGTGCATAAATACACATCTGCAACATGCTGGGCCCAGACAGGTCACCGTGTCAAAAACACTCCATGGACACCTGATAATGAGTGAGTTCACATTGTGGAAGCCCAGGGATTTCTGGTGAGGAGGAACAGCCCTGGAGCTGCCGCATCTTGGGGGCCTCTCAAGAAACCAGGGCTCCTGACCAGACTGCTTAGAGGAGAAAGATTCACCCTCCACTCAAGAGAGGAGGGCAGGCATCAGCAGCTTTTCCTGGCAATGTGGAGAAGCAGCAACAGGGCAAAGGGCGAGGAAGACTTCACAGCAAGTCCCCTCCACCCAGGGTCACCAGGTGCACCGAGAGGTCTCAGCCTACAGAAAGGTTTTGTGCTCGTTGTTTCTTAACCACTAATGACGGCATAAAGGTTTTCCGGTGGGGGCGGCACTGAGGCCTTTCAGGGAGGTCCCTGGACTCGATCCTGTGGAATAAAAAGAAGACATTAGGCTAGGAAGAGAAAATAAAACTAACAATGGTCCTAGAGTTGAGAGAACATGATCCATCTACTGGCAGGTAGCAGGGTGGGGGTGTGACCTGGGGCTGTTAAATGACTTGGTACTTCTTACCCCTGGAGAACTATTCGGTACAAGCCCCAAGGCATGATGGCCTTCACCCACTGTGTATTCGGTACAAGCCCCGAGGCATGATGGCCTTCACCCACTGTG